GGGGGATTTCCCCGAAACGGGGCACGACCCCGCGTCTCCTGCATCGGCAGGCGGACTCTCAAGCACTGCGCCACCAGGGAAGCCCGAGGTGTATGAGTTTTTAAAAATATATTTCATATATTAACCCCTTACCAGATATCATGAATCCCTTATTGTAGAGTAATAATCATATATTATTATGAATTTATTATGAATCAGATATATGGTTTGAAAATATTTTCTCCCATTCTGTTGGTTGCCTTTTCATTTTGTTGATTGTTTCCTTTGCTGTGCAGAAGCTTTTTAGTTTGATGCAGTCCAACTTGCTTATTTTTGCTTCTGTTACTTGTGCTTTAGGTGTCATATCAAAAAAAAAAAAATTGCCAAGAACAATGTCAAGGAGCTGTTTCCCTGTGTTTTCTTCTAGGAGTGTTATGGTTTCTGGACTTACATTTGTCTTTAATCCATTTTGAATTAATTCTTGTCAATTGTATAAGTTAGTGATAGTTTCATTCTTTTGCATATGAACATCCAATTTCCCCAGCACTATTTGTTGAATAGACTATCTTTTCTCCATTGAGTATTCTTGGCTCCTTTGTCAAATGTTAGTTGACTGTATATGCATGAGTTTATTCCTGGGCTCTCAATTCTTTTATGTTGGTCTATTTGCCTGTTTTTACACCAGCACCTACTGTTTTGATTACTATAGCTCTGTAATATAGTTTGAAATCAGGAACTGTGATGCCTCCAGCTTTGGTGATTTTTTTTTTTTTCTTTCATCAATGTCTTAAACTTCTCATTGTACAGCTCTTTCACCTTCTTGGTTACATTAATTCCTGGGTATTTTGTTGTTTTTGCTGTTGTAAATGGGATCATGATTTAGTCTTGGTGGGTTGTACATTTCTAGTTTATTTATTTACTCTAGGTTGTTCAGTTAGTTGGTGTGTAGTTGTTCATAGTATACAGTATCTTATGCTCCTTTGTTTTTCTGTGGAATGAGCCGTATTATCTGACTTTTTATTAGCAGATTCTTCATCTGTAAGATGGAGATAGTAACATCAACTCTAGAAGAGTTAAATGAGATAATGTATGTAAAACATCTAGCAAAATGCGTGGTGCTCAATCAGGGCTAAACAAAAGTGAGTTACTCTCCCAAGGAGAAGCCAAAAAAAAAACCAGTTTTCTTTTTGCCCTTGTTATGGAACAGATGGAAATTGAAAAGTGAAGACATATAACAATTGGGAGACTGGAACCTCTATTCATAAGAGAGAGGCCACAATTTATTTGTGTGTGTGTGTGTGTGTGTGTGTGTGTGTGTGTAAATGGCTTAGGAAGAAAGGAATGTTAGCTGTTTAAGAACATGTGGTCAGTTAAAAATCAAAATGTGTGTGTTGTTTCACTTAAGAGCTCCATGCAAAAATAATTAGAAATTAAGCATTACATTGTTGCTTCCTGAGTTCAATGATTTATATGTATTTTAAAGTCATATATTAACAGAATTACACATTGGCCAGTTATAATTATTAAAAGTTCAGTTTTCCTCTGTTTGAAATTTTAAAGCATTTGTATAATGATGGTCTTTTAAAACCTTGCTATTTATTATAGCAGTTGAATCATTGAAATGTTATTCTTCGTTTTGTTCAATGTTGTTGAGCCTTATCTTTCTGGCATAAGAATATCTTATTATATGTAATTGTTTTTCTTTAATTTTATAATAAGAAAATTTATTTAAACTATTTTTAAATTATAAGAGTAGGGCAAACATTTTAGTTTTTTTTTTTTAATTAATTAATTTATTTATTTCTGGCTGCATTGGGTCTTCATTGCTGCGTGTGGGCTTTCTCTAGTTGCGGCGAGCAGGAGCTACTCTTTGTTGTGGTGAGCGGGCTTCTCGTTGCGGTGGCTTCTCTTGTTGTGGAGCACGGGCTCTAGGCATGTGGGCTTCAGTAGTTGTGGCACACGGACTCAGTAGTTGTGGCTTGTGGGCTCTAGAGCTCAGGCTCAGTAGTTCTGGTGCATGGGCTTAGTTGCTCTGCAGCATGTGGGATCTTCCCAGACCAGGGCTCAAACCCGTGTCCCCTGCATTGGCAGGCAGATTCTTGACTACTGCGCCACCAGGGAAGTCCAACATTTTAGTTTTTAAAAAACAATTCTGTATCATGTCTGAAGTATTTTGGGAATTAATCCTATTTTTTGATTTTTTTAAAATTAATGTTGTCATTATTCTTCTTTACTTTGACTAATATAATCCCAAAGAGCATTCACTGGACATGTTTTAATTTTTTTTTTTCTGATTTCAAGGAGTTAAAAATGTTATCTGAAGATTTCTTAGGGTGTACTTTCTTATGAGAATTCTGTACTGCCTATTTATTCTTTTTTAAAATTTTATTTATTTATTTGGCTGCATTGGGTCTTTGTTGCTGCGAGCGGGGCCTACTCTTCATTGCAGAGCACAGGCTCTAGGTGCATGGGCTTCAGTAGTTGCAGAACGTGGGCTCAGTAGTTGCAGCGTGCGGGCTCTAGGGTGCGCGGTCTTCAGTAGTTATGGTGTGTGTGCTCAGTAGTTGTGGCTCGCAGGCTCCAGAGCGCAGGCTCAGTAGTTCTGGCACATGGACTTAGCTGCTCCGTGGCATGTGGGATCTTTCCGGACCAGGGATCAAATCCATGTCCCCTGCATTGGCAGGCAGATTCTTAACCACTGTGCCACCAGGGAAGTCCCTGCCTGTTTGTTCTTAAATCATTAGTTAAAAGTTAAATGAAAAGCTTTTTCATTTATGAATAATACAGTATATATAAGTGATACTAAAATTTTAGTTTTATGATAGCCAAATAAATGTCATTGGTTTTAAAAGTGAATCTTTAATTTGTTTTGATTAACCATTGTAAGCATTTATCATTTTTGTTTCCACATTAATGTGTGCATTTGAAGATAATATGGGATTTGTACAATCTTCTTGAATAGTTGAAACTTAACAGAATTGCAAATTGCAGATTTCTGTGCCTGGTGGAAATAAAATAAATATGAAGCATGGTAGATATTCATTTTTTATGTCTCTTACATAACCTGGCAAATGATACTAAAACAGCACTTTGGTGTATGTTTTGGATATTTTTTCCCGTGTTAAGTGTGCACTGTCTTTAAAATTTTAACTTTATTTATTGCTGTCGTTTGAACAGGTGTCTCAATGCTTGTACCTACTGCAAAACTAAACACGCCAGAGGAAATTTGGCCAGTTATCCAGTTGATGAGTTAGTAGATAGAGCCAAACAGTCTTTTCAAGGTAAGAGTTTCTAGAATTCTGTGTGATTATAGTCTTCTTAATAAATTATAATAGTCTTCTAAGTAACAGTTCACTTTAGATACATGCTTCTTTAGCTTTCTGAAGAGTTTACAAATATTTCAGCTTATCTAATAGAAGATGTTACCAGATTCAGGTTATAATATTCACATAACTCCCCTTTCACCACTCTTCTGTTTTCTTATGACTCTAAGGTAAGTGACATATTTTGAAATTCATCACCTATCTTTATATTCCATGGAAGAGACAAAAATAGAAAAATGAAAGCCATGACCTTCTGTTGTGTGTTAATAAGACTTTTGTGGACTGAGTGAAATACGCAAGATTTCTCCCTCTTTCTTTGGTAATTCTTGGACCATTCAGAAAATAGAGCTAATAAGGGTTGCCAGGAGTTTTGGAAAGAGAAGGTAGGTTTTACTATGAGCCAGTAGAGGTAACCCTCGTCATCCACAGGACTGCTGTGGGGCAGTAAATATTGGTACTGATAGAGAGTCCTAATGAGAACAATTTTTGTGTGGGTGGCCAGCTACTTTTGAATCATCACTTGCTGGAAAATGTGATTGCCTAGGTATCTCTCAGCATATAGTAAGACGTACCTGTAGCACGAGTCTCAGTTGTGTTGAGTCACAGTTGTGTTGATACATAACCATAAATTGCCCCTTTTGCCTTGGCTTATAATATGTGTATATAACATTGATGTGTTTTTATAACCAACATGAGATAATCTATTGTCTCATAATCTTGTTGGTTAGTAGTTATTGGTAACGTACTTTTCCTTTTAGCAAGTAACTTGGAGTGCTACTTTCAGTACTTCACATCCTGAATCTCAGAATGTATGAGTTCCAAACAAACTTATTCAGTCTAAAGCTTTTATCAACATGAATTTGAAATGCTCTTTATAGCAGAGAGAAAAACACCCTTGATTAATCTAACACGTCTCAACAATTTTTTTTTCTACCTTTATATTCTTATCACAGTCCCCTCCTCTGTTCACATTCAGCTTGTATTGAAAGAAAGAAATGGAAACTCACTGACTCTTGCAGTTGTTTGTTTTCAGAGCCAGGTAATTGTCTAATCTTAGGAAAAGTCTGGGTGGTTGTCTTTTCTGCAACATGGCTACTTTAAGGATTTTTCAGAAAGGGCATGAATTTGCACAGAAACCTACTTTATTTGAAAAATGATCCCTTTGTTGGCATTCTTACTTAGTATTTGTTTTTCCATATATCTGTTGGATAATGGAGATGTTAAAACTATATGATCTATCCACCTAACTCTGCAAATTGGAAGGTATTCAAATTACAAATACAAGTGACTTTGCTGGTTAAGGTGAGTGATTCAAAGAATATATCAGAGGTTAGCAGTGACTTAGTGGCTATTTATAGAGAAAGTATTAGAAGAGGTTTATTTAATACTACTTTCATCATCATCAGTAGATACGTATGTGCTCGGTTATTCCCAACCAAGGAACGTTTTCAATGTAAAGTTTTTCTTTTCCTTTTGAATTTTATTTTATTTATTTTTTATACAGAAGGTTCTTATTAGTTATCTATTTTATACATATTAGTGTGTATGTGTCAATCCCAATCTCCCAATTCATCCCACCACCACCACCACCCCCCTGCCATTTTCCCCCCTTGGTGTCCGTATGTTTGTTCTCTACATCTGTCTCTATTTCTGCCCTGCAAATCGGTTCATCTGTATCATTTTTCTAGATTCCACATATCTGCGTTAATATACGATATTTGTTTTTCTCTTTCTGACTTATTTCACTCTGTATGACAGTCTCTAGGTCCATCCACGTATTTACAAATGACCCAGTTTCATTCCTTTTTATGGCTGAGTAATATTCCATCGTAAATATGTACTACCACATCTTCTTTATCCATTCGTCTGTCGATGGGCATTTAGGTTGCTTCCATGACCTGGCTATTGTAAATAGTGCTGTAATGAACACTGGAGTGCATGTGTCTTTTTGAATTATGGTTTTCTCTGGGTGTATGCCCAGTAGCAGGTGTAAATTTTTTCTTTTGTCTTGTTATCTGAATATTAGGGTTGAAATGGAAGGCTAGTTTTCAGACTGGCAGGCTCATTTTATTGCTATGGGGAACTGTTACTAAAATATCGAGGTCATAACTTTCTAGGTAAGCCAGTGTGTTTAGGCAGTTTTAAGTCCTAAGATGCTCTTTGCCATAGGAGAGTTTGAATTCAAAACAGTGCTCTGCTGCTTACCAGCCACATGATCTGACCAAGGTACTTGACCTATATACAAGCCATGGTTTTCTCATTACTGTGACATTAAGTGTTGCTTGAATTTGAGATAACTTACATGAAATAATTGGTTGTGTCCTTATTATGAAGAAGTCATGTTACTTAAACTGAAGGAATTTAAAATAAATCCAACAAGAGAAGTCTAATTTTGAGTGAGAATATTGGAACATCTAATATTGGAACATTTAATGATTAGAATCAAAAGACAAATTTTCTTTTGCTTTTAAAATATGTCTTATGAAAAATGTCTCTATAGATAGAAACTAGTATGACAATTACCTTTTATTTTCTTAATTTGAGAATTGCAAATTCATGCTAAGGATGGTCTTATAATCTCACAATAGGAAATAGCAGTCTATAAGCTCACATTTTAAAGACATTGAGTTAGCAGCATTGTCTTTTTTCCTGCAGAAGACATTGGGATCATAATGGTCTTACAGGATTCCTATGTTTGAGTTTTAAAATTGTGAAGAAGGGACTTGCTTGGTGGTCTAGTGGTTAAGACTCTGCTTCCACCGCAGAAGGCGCAGGTTTGATTCCTGGTCAGGGAACTAAGGTCCCTTATGCCATGCGGCATGGCCAAAAATTTTTTTAAATAAATAAATAAAAAAATAAAAGTGTGAAGAATAATTATGAAGTTAAATGTAATAGAAGAAATAACCCGTTTTTCGTATTCCTGTGACTTCTGTGTAATTCGTTCTCTAGTAATTCAGATATTAGGAACGTTTGGGGGGGGTCAGAGCCCCTTAAATTCTACATCATACCATTATTAAATTGTCCTATAATCAATAATAAACATTATGATTCTTTGAAAATTTACTCTAAGATGAAAAGTGTAAATATGCTGTCAGTAAATTTTAGTGCTATGTTTAAAGCCGTCCTGTCAGTGTAAGTTAAATTTCCCAACTGAAAATTGCATTTCCTTTCTTTCTTTTTCTTGAAGTTTTAAATGACTGTGTGTCACAAATACAAAGTGATTTTAAAAAAAACTCTACACCAATTGTAGAATAGGGATTGCAATCCCGGTTGCCAGTCACGTGACAGACTATTACACTAAGATCACAATTTCTTTCTGAGTAGCATATTTATGAAACATTTTATAAACACTTATTTCTTAGAAGTGTAATGAGTGAAGAGACTAGGGCTAACCCATAGGCAAGGGAGCATTCAGAAGAGATTCTGAAATAATCATGAAATCATTCTGAATATAAAATGGTTTCCTAAAGTACTAAAAATATACTGACTATACATTCAGCGGCCAGGAATGAGAAAGGGAGCTCTTTAACTTTTGAATGGATATCATTAAATAAAATTGTTTATATTTTTGAATGGAAACTTTAGTTTACCTTTTATGCAAAAAATATAGTTTATATTTCATTGGTTTCCTAGCTTTTTTTTGACTTATCCTAGCCCCTTGACATTTTCATGGACTATTTTTACCTTCTCAGTGTGTGTATCATTTTTGTGGGCAGTTCTGCATATGAGTGTAATACTTACCAGGTTAATTTCTGGGTATCATCACATTGTTCTAACAGACCATTGGGAAACCTCTCCCCTCACTTCCTCACCTATGCCGGACTTTAGGTTTTAAAAATTCCTAGTCTTTGGGGGCTGGGGTTTGACATGGTTGCATTTTAGACATCTAGAAAAACATGTCAAGCAATGACCTATACTTTGTTGGGGCCAGAATGAATTTACAAGCTAGTATTTTCTAGGATATTTGTATTGATTTTTCTCTAGCAACTAATCAATCAGTTTCAGTTGTATAAGTGATGGAGCAAACCTTTTTAAGTGTGCTGGGTGAGTGGTGTGGAAACAACACCTTTCACTGCTGTCTCTGGAATCAAAATGTAGAGATGATGGATGAGCTGTTTTTATAGCTCTCATGTGCTTTTCTAGATCTCATTTCTGTGTTGCTACTTTTTTTCTCCCTCATAAATCTGAACGTCCCCCACAAGATAAGTGGCATAAACCAGTTATGGAAAGGTAAATAAATTAAGATGAAATATTCAGGGCAAGGAGAAAATTTCTCGATGCTTAGTGATTTCAAGATTAATGTTGGAATTTTATGAAATGAATTCTGTTTTATTTCAAGACTTGCAAAGATACTGTCTATTGTGTATGAGATTAATTATGCAGTGCAGCTGGAAAACATTGCTTCCTGCCCTTTTAGATAGGAAAGGATATGAGCAATATTTGATTTTCTGGTGTATAAACTTCAGATTGTTGAGCTGTTGCATTTGACTTATCACCTTTAGCATTGAGTACTGTATATTGATTTTCATCTAAGCTTAAAAAGTGACCAGTAATTGCATCCTATTAATTTATATGGCAGTTATTTAAATGTCTTTATTCCTTTATCTTTTCATTTGTGCTGTGTTCAAATTGAGAAATCTATTTCTTCTATAGGATTAATAATGTTACTGTACATATTTGTTATGCATTGTCAACTTCCAAAAAGGGATTTTAGGAAGCTTACATTAAATGATTGTATGTAAATAGACCATGAAAATAAAGGGTGTATGAAATGCTGTTATGTTTCAAGAGGGAAGATAATTATACCAACTGGTGAATCTTGGCTGTCCCAAAGAATAAGGAGATAGGGTGATTTATATAACTTGTATGAATGTATAAAAGGAAGGATATATATTTTTTAATTAATTAATTAATTTATTTTTGGCTCTGTTGGTTCTTTGTTGCACACGGGCTTCTCA